AAAAAAAAAAAAAAAAAAAAAAAATTGATATTCTTTAATTTTACGATCGTAAAACCAATAAAATAACAATATATATTAAATTATCGGAAAATCAATATAATATGAGTGCATTTATAGCATTTATATCTGATACGACATGTACCGAAGAATCTATTGAATCTATTGAGAATGATTATTCCTTAGTCCTTGGACAATCTGGTTTTTTGGAAATTTTTTTTTATAGCATATATACGTTACATTAAATGACATAATAATTTGAAATTTACTGTGTATATTATAGGGATTGAACGTAAACGTTTACACATATATTAATAAAAATGCGCTTAGTCCAAATATATAATCAATATAATCAACCACATGATTTTATTAAAAAAGTATCGAAATGTTTTGATAAATAATGTTTGATCATGGGGTTCAATTACTTTTTTATTGATTTAATATTTCGGTCATCTGATACTTTGAGAAACCTTTTTAGTAACGTACGCGTGATTTATTTTTCATTATTTGAATGATGATATAGTACATTAAAAATCGTTAAATTTACATTTCAAGGAACGATTTTTTTTTTTTTAAGCGTTTCAGATAATGCATATTGTTTTTACGATTGTGATTATTTTTAATCTATTTTTTTTTGTTTTTTTTTTCTCCCGATGTTCTTATCTTTTACTTATGATTATGCGCAGTATAAAATTTCACAATAACTAAAAAAAAAAAAAAAATTAAAAAAAATATTAGGTAATATAGAGATTTTATTGATAGGCTCTTTTTACGTACATAAAATTGTACAGACATACTATACTATACATAAATAGGAATTTTTATGTTTCTGATTGGCTACTTTTTCTTATAAATGATTCCGGATAACGGAGATTCAATGGGGGGAGTTTTTTTTAAAAAAAAATAAATTCATCTTATAATAAAAACAAGAAGCTACTTTATTTACTAATCCGGACCGGAGCATTAAAAAATGCTTATCACGTGTTATCATCAAACTGATTATTTTATAATCTCGTAATTTCGGCCGGAGTTAACAGAAATCACCTGACTTATACACGATTTAACGAAAAAATAATTAAAAATTTCACACTTTTTGTAGGAATGTAGGTTAAATCGCTTTTATTTTATTTTATTTTATTTTTGCTCTTTCTTCTATCTCAACAGAATTAATTTTATTTTTTGGATAGCTTTATACATGTAATTAATTAAATTAATTATTGTATTGAGATAGTAATTTGCGGAATTGTGTGGTGACTATAAAATGAATCATGATATAAAATTATAGAACGTATCAAAAAAGTAAGTTGAAATATTACTATATAATTTGAGGAAGTTATAATTTGAAAAATTAATCATCTATTATTATTTAATATCACAGTGATAAATTTGCTACCTCATTGCATAATTCGAAGAATCAATATATAAATATACAATAAATCCAAGAATTATACCAATAATATATTGACTAAACGAATGGAACTTCAGTGAAAATTTGACGTTTAATCATGAAGTCTCAATATTATTCATGGTAAACAAATTTATTGCCATAATTTATTAAATATGTTAAGATTTTTTTTTGTTTTATTTTTGAAGAAACAAGCAATTGTTCGAATTTTGAACACCTCAAATATATAATTTTATAATTTCAGCCAAAAATATGCGGCTAATTCGGGCCAAATTTATTCAAATATTCGAACGGTCCCAAAAGTCACGTGCAAATTCCTTACCAATAATAAAACTAAATCAATAAGATTTATGGAATTAATGAATAATAATACTAAATTATTACATGATTGGAGTAATAATTTTTGTCTAATATAATAATTAACTTATTACAGTAGCTACTGAATATTATTTAATATAAGAACTTAATTGTAAATATTTTAACTTTGAAAAATAATTTTGAACTTTATATATTAATTTATTTATTTACAATAATATAAATAATTTTAGGTTTAATTAAGAAATTTTTTTATTAAAATCAAATAATTTTAATATTAATTAAAAACTTAAATCTTAAATTATACTTATAAATAAATTAAAAAACTAAATTCTAAACTTTTATTTTAATATATAAATTATTACTTATTAAATATAAATAATAACTTTTATTATTATTTTAATTAAAATTATTTTGATATATAAATATTATTATTTTATTTAACTACATTTATAATTATTATATTTTAATAAATAATTAAATATAATTGATAAAATTTGTTAAATTTAACAAAATGTAAACACTTTATAGTAATTTTATATAATTAACCTATAAACTACTTGCCATTTACTAGAAAATTTATATATGTATTACTAGATAGTTATTATAGTTTTATAGGTATTCTGCATGTGAAATAGGCAATTTTAGCATTAATATGTTATGCTCTACACCTGGTAAATTACAAATTCACTAAATTTAATTTGGTAAATTTTATTAATTATACTATTTATTATAAATTAATTAATTAATTAAATAAAAATTAATGTATGATGTATTTTGAATTTTTTTTTTCTAATAAAGAAACTAAATATGCTGCAGTATAAAAAAAAAAATAAAAATTAAAAAATTATAAATATCAGTAATATTTTAATTGCAGATCTGCCTAAAATCGGCACTGCGTTACTAATAAAATTCAGGGTTAAATTTGCCGATTTTGTGCTAGAACACAAACTTCAAAAAAGGATATTTCATAGATGATATATTGACTATAAAAAAATCATATGATATACTGAAAAAATACTTGAAAAACCCAAATTTGCAAAAAAAAGTTATACATTTGTATGCAAAATAATGAGTTTACTATGTGCGCGCGTCAGATTTACACCTTAAAATATACTAAATTTCAATATTTCATTTTACTATATTGCATTATTTACATAAAAAACCTATAATTTTTAGCTTCTAAAGTTGTTTTTAAAAGCTTTTTTGAAATATTTTTATTATTAAAAACAAGTGAAAGTTGAAAAAAACCAGTTACAGAAATATAATTATAAAATTTTTTGGTAAATATGACTTGTCATAAAATGAAAGAAAATATTGTATTTATGATATTTTTGTTTGTAAAATGGTTGAAACTTATTTTGTGCGCGAGATGCAAAAAATGCTTTTTTTTATTATCACTATTATTCCCAAATTTTATTAGTAACGCAGTGCTGATTTTAGGCGGATCGGCAATTAAAAATTAAGATCTTTAAAAATTTTCTTAATTAAATTTATAAAGAATTTTAAGAAATTATTTCTATCTTTATAAAAATTTTATAAAATATTTTTAAGAATTTATAAATTTTTAAAAATCCTTAAAAAATTTTATAACTAATTTAAAGATTTTTAAAAAATTTTTCCATTTATAAAGAATTTTAATTTTTAAAATATTACTAATAAAATTAAAATTCTTTAAAGTAAATATTAGTTTTTAATAATTTTTTATATAATAAAAAAAAAAATATTAAAATTTATAATTATTTATTTTATAATTTTTTACTTCAAATCACTAAAGATGTATTACTATTAGCTAGAATTATCAATTTTTACTGGCACTATATTTTTTTAATACTAGTTGATCATCATAATTTTAATCATCAGTGATCATCACCCCTGATAATAGTTAGAAAAAAATAAAAATCAACTTTAATTTAATTTTATATAATAAAAAGGAAAAAATATTTTACACAGATATATAGCAATACACCTTCTTTTTGGTAATTTTCTTATAGTAAATATATTGATCATTTCTTATTACATAAATATGTGACATCGTTAAATTTTCTGATTTTTGAATAAATGTCACATAAATTTTATGTACATATTATAAAGTTTTTAAAAAATATATACTATGCATATTTTTGCTTGTCCTACAACTTTATATATGAAATATTATAAAGGATATATTGTAACGTATCTGTGTATAAAATTTAAACTCTAATAAAAATTTTTGTTTAAATACTATATTATATTTTTTATTTTTTTTGCAGCATATTTAAATCTTTATTAGAATAAATGTGTTTATAATATATCATACAAATAAAAATAAACTAAATAAACTAATTTAATAAGAAACTAAACTACTTGTTATCCTAAAAAGGATCTTACATATACACTAATACTATATTATAATAATATTATAATTATATATTAGTATTAATTAAAAAATCTTTTTTTAATATATTTTTATTATAATTAAAGTGTAATTTTTAAATTTAAATCTGTAAA